TCTAAACCTAAGAACAAATATTTTATATATTTCAGCTTACCAGTTCTGTGGTGGCTGCATTAGTTTTCTTTTTTTAGGGGCCTAATTAGATCTATATTAGTGCTTAGAGGGGAGTTTTTTGTAGTGTTAGGTGCATTGTCATGCAACAATTTCTATTTTCATTGTGCGCTGATATGCATTATTAATGAACTGATGTATCTAGTGCATTTTTAAGAATGACCATGGTTTGTTAATACCTGTTGCATCAAAATGCATAAAAACATGTTATATGTATTTTGATGCATTGCGATTGACTTCCCAATGCACTAAAACTCAGAAAAAACAAGCTGCACTGCAGCGCAGAGATGAAATCATACGCTATTTCTGTGATAGGAAACTTGGAGACGTGTTTTAGTAAGTCTTATCTCGTGTGCTAAAACATAACAGTGTAAATGGGCCCTGAGGCTAAGAACATTTTCAGCAAGTACAAAATATACATGTTGTTCTTGCCAAAAATGCAGTGTCCTTTCAACTTTCTGTGGATTTAATTGAAACCACAAATAATGTTATCTTCTTTCCAAGCTACCTTCTGTAAACTACAAATTCCCCCAGAGAGGAAGACATATTTGTAGTCAAAAGCATGGTAGCAAGCTAGAGACAAGCATGGCTCCCTCCACAGATACACTGTAGTGAGTGAGCATGGTCACCCTAGCAGGTTTACTCTGTAAAAATAAACAAAAAAAACCCTGTAAACAAAAACTAATGCAGCCACCACATCAAAGGATTGGATAGCAGCAGTATAATAAAATTATGTATTTGGACTTAGATATACTTTGGGTACCAGTGGAATAAAATAAACCAGTGCAATTTTAAGAAATACATAATCAAAACTCACTGATCATGTTCCGTTAAATGTTTCTTTTGCTAACAAAATTTCTTTAATTCTTTAATTATCTTCTTCAAAGTGTTTCAAATAGTAAATATATATATATATACAGTATATATATAATTTAACCTTGTAGGGCATGTTAAGAAAAATGTTATCCTTGCACAATATGATCAAGCTGCCGATATTGTAGCAAACAAATTATGTTGCTGTGTATCCAGAATTATCTTGAAATTCAAACTAGAGCTCATATGATTTTGGTCTACCTCCTTATGCCCCTTTTGGCCATTAGCTTACCATTAGACAGTCTCACTGGGCAACAGGAAAGTGTGGAACAGGAGGAAACAGGTCAGAATATTATGTGTATTCTGGTCTGTGTTGGTATAATGGTGTTTTGGGGCTCTGAGGGTGTTCTGCAAATGAATAAATGATGAATGTTGAAATTTGTGGGTGTTTTGCGGGCGTCCCTTTGGTAAAAATCTCCACACAGGTAACATATTCTGTGTGTGATATGTTAGTATAAAGACGCTTTCAACTGTCAAGAAAACATATAACATTTGTACTGATTCCTTCTGTGGAGGAATAATTTAATCATTCCACACCCCTACACACACAATATGTAAGACTGTGTTTAACCATTCTTCTTTATCCAACCCACCCATCACCACAAGCCACTTCTAGATTTACTAAATGTACATGAACATTCTACTCATCTTCTCCATGCAAACCCATACATTGGTTCTGCTTGCATACACACACCAGGTACAATGTGGGCACACTGTCCTTGTCCCCTGACATTCTGTACCTCTTACATATTCTACACCTATACACAAGGTGATTGTTCTTACATGTCCACATAAACATATTGTAGTCATTGGAGTGTTTATGAAAAAGACGGATCTGTATGCAAATATGCAGCTAAAGATGGTTGTACACCAGTAGAACATGTTTTTCTGAACATTTGTTTGATTTTTAATAGTTAATGGGGTCGAATCAACAATTGATTTTGACCCTAGGGAATAAAAAAAACAAAGGAGAATGGAATATTTTTTCTGGAATGAATGCAATACTAACAGTGAATGCGGTCTTTGGGAAACTGCATTCATTCCAAAATCGAATGTTAGAATCAAACAAAATTTCTAATGACACTCTAAAAGTCTCTTATGGTATTTTAAAATATTCTGTTCTTTTTCATATGAAAGTTCACCAGTGTATACTAGCTAAAAAACAAAAGAATCAACTAATTGGATGATGTGATCAAAAAGTATAGATAAGCAAGTAATGAAAATCTGCTCTACCAGCATGTCATTGAACTGCTAACATGGGCACTAGTTCACTAAATGCAGAGTGGAAGGAGATCCCTTCCTCACCAAAGGAATCAGAGCACAGAACCCCTCCTGGGCGATTCAAATTGCACTCTAGGATCCAATGAGGATTCTGCTTTTACATTATAAGGAGTTACTGTATAAGGTTGAAAATTTCCACTTGCTTAATAGGGAAAAATATAATTTTTAATTAGGTTCCATACTTAAAAGAAAGCTTCCCCTTTGTCTTTCTGCTAAGGAAAGTGAACTACTACGTGCACTGCTTTCTAATCATCCCTACATACTTTTACACAAATGACCAGTACCAACACACATATAATTACTCTTTAGAGAAAGAAAGAAACAGAAAAATAGATGACTATAGTCAGAAAGCTTCAGGAGGTTAATAATTCTACTTACAAACCAAAGATTCCATAATTTAATTCTGTCAATTATAAATAGACTACAGACTGTAAGCTATTTTATGACAACATAATTAAAAGTGAAAAGCCAAAGGTCAATAAATAGGCCAACAAAGCAGTTGACTTACAATTTTAAGTACATTTAACACATGGAAACATAGAAATAAACAAATACATACTAGAAATTGGTTTAGCTATGATCCCGCTGTAAAGCTCTCCTGCAAACTGGCCACATTGTACCAATGATGCAAATGCAACAAAAACTATGGAAAATAATATATACAGGTGAAACTCGAATAATTAGAATATCGTGCAAAGTTCATTTATTTCACTAATGCAACTTAAAAACTTAAAAGGTGAAACTAATATATGAGATAGACTCATTACATGCAAAGCAAGATAATTCAAGCCGTGATTTGTCATAATTGTGATGATTATGGCTTACAGCTCATGAAAACCCCAAGAACCCCAAATCCACAACCTCAAAAAAAGTAGATTATTACATGCAATCAATAAAACAAGGATTGTACATAGAACAATATCGGACCTCTGAAAAGTACAAGCATGCATATGTACTCAGTACTTGGTTTGGGCCCCTTTTGCAGAACTTACTGCAATTACTTTTGCACGATATTCTAATTATTAGAGTTTCACCTGTAAATTAAACTTTAAAATTAGAAGCAAGAATCAACAAGGTTCCACCAATCCCCAGGAATGAAAGCATGGATTTTAAGGTTTATAATGGGAACAACAGAAATGTAGGTACAGAATCATGAGGCAATAAGCAAGTCCAGGAAACAGGCCGAGGTCAGGGGCAGGCAGCAATATAGAAGAGTCCAACAATCCGAGTCAAGAGGGTACAGGCAGAAGTCTTCAACAACTCAACAGGCACAGGGGCACACACAGCTGAAAAACCATCAGCATAGTGAGCAGGGCAGGCTTGTTTAAATAGGGCACTTCATTAATGCTTGTTGTGTCACTTCCTTTGCGCCTGCTGTTTGCGCGTCTTTGCGTGTTTCTCCGGTTGCACGTTTTATAGTGGCTTTTGCGCGCATGTCCATTTCACCTTAAACAGTGGCTGTTTCCTTAACTTGCCCAGTGCATGAGCAAAAGGATGCTTTTGGTGCGTATGCACTTCTGGACGTGGCCCTTAAAATCTGTGTCAATCTTTAAATCGCTACAATGGACAAATGGAAATTATTTCTGCCATGACAAATATACAGGTGCCCTGTTGCTTTAAGATAGCTGTCCGGAAAGCCTATTATTCACAGGATTTGATGAATTCTTTCATTTTTCATGGAACTCTAGGTTTCCATACATAGTGAACCAAGAGAGAATAAAACTGTAATGCAGGGTGCTATAAAGTTCTCTATAGATATTATAACATGTAAAATACATTCACAGGAAGCACCACAACTACGTGAAGACCATAAAATCATTCTTGTAATTTTTTTCAAATGTAGTTGGTAAGGAACAATTCTCTTAAAATTGAAGCAGGATCCAATGTTCTGTTGTTTTAAAATAATTTCATATTTAATCCTGACGTTTATAATGATTGACATAATTATTAATAAATTATGTGTCATGTATCTGAGCCAAATTTTATCTTTAAATTATATTTTTTATGTGATTATGAGACTTTTGGGACTTTTGCTAATCCAGATTGGAACACTACACAACTTGTAATGATATCTTAAGTTTGTACATGTTTTATTGCACTGTTTAAGAAAAAAAATCTATTGCAGTTTGGGGTTTGCTGCACTTATAAAACTACTTACATGGCTCTCGGGGGTGTTTGAGGGCAAAGCCTGTAGCCCATTGATGTTATTTAGCTAACTATAACTGCATATAATATGACTTACTTTGGCCCTGCATCAAGATAAATGCATTCTCATATGGATTGGTGTTCAACTTTAACACTAGTTAAAGTCTGTATAACTATATTCTTGTTTTAAAAAAGAACTCCAGGAAATAATGTTCTTAACCCTTGCAGTGTGGGAACCCCTGAACTACAATGGTTAAGTGCTTGTTTTCACCTAGGTACGAAAATGGAAAAAGTTATACCTACCCAATCTTCTGAGCTGATCGACTGTTGGACCAGTCCTTCCATCCCCTCTTCCCCTCTGCTCCAGCAGTCTAAGGTCATGTGAGTCATCATATCCAATACACTAAGTATTGGACATGAGGATGTCAGGGGATAAACCATCGCTGGAGCAGAGGAAGAGACAGGCTGGATGGAGCGATCTAACATCCAGCTGGCTGTGAGGCTCGAGTTAGTATAACTTTGTTATTTTCGCATCCAGATGAACATGTGCAGCTAACCCCCTGCGCTGTTAAGAAACATTTTTTACGGAGTTCTTTTTGAAAGATAGAAATCACAAAGTAACATTATTCTTTTATTTTAAAAAGGAAATGCTACAGGAGAAAAGTTTATCTGACGGTGAGGATGGGTTTACAACAGGCCAAACCACTGGACATGTTGAAGCAGCAGCAGGATCACCAGGACTGGGAGTAGCTGGACTAAGCAACTCCCTGAGCAGTCCACAGAGCCAAGATCCAGAGCAGGTAAGAACTAATGTTGTGTATTTTGAAAAAACACATCTTTCTGTATAGTCAAATGCCAAATTTTCTTTAGTTTTATAGATAGAGTAAAAAATAATTAAAACCCATGTCAAGCTTATTCACATATTCATTTTGCTGACCTGCGTCTCATTGCAGAGGTTTTTCTTCACTTCCTGTCTCAATTAAAAATAGGGAATGACAGCTGTTTCCAGAACAAGTGTCACAGTTGAAGATTAGCTCTGTATTCCTGTGACAACTCAAAACTTTGGATCTTCCCTCATTTTCAGTCCTGGTGACAAAGATCACCAGGACAAATACAGAGAGTGAAACTTCTCACCAGGGACAGAGACAGCAAGAAATCAGATAACTGATAACTGAAAAGATTCCATTTTATTCAGACTCTAATGTCATAAACATTCAACGCATTTTGATAGTTCAAAGGGTAATCAGGGCTAGAAATACATAACAAATTATGATCAGTGCACAGTATTGACTGGTGTGTAAGTGGTATAGGATATTAAATGCCAATATGTAGTGAAATACAATACAACCACAAAAGATAAAAAAAATTACAGTAAAAAGTTCAAAAATGAATAAAAAATCATGTACATGTATAAAAGCAATGGATAGAACACCGTTTTTTTATTAAAGGATTTACATATGTATATCATATACTAGTATATAAATAATAAATCAAAGAAGTAGAATACACTGGATTTTTCTGACATGACAGTGTAAAAAAATGATTTTTGTGGTCCTGAAAGAGCTGCTTAGGGAGTATCATTCACCCTACAATCTTTAAAGTGTAACTCTACTTTGGGAAGAAAAAAAAACAATTCCATCTGGTTGTACATTTCAAGGATTTTGATACATGTTGTTGCAGATTCCTCACCTTTTCTTGTTCTGAAGAAAAAGCTGCTTGTTTCACCATGTCCTTTCCAGGCTGATTCCTGAATAGGAAGGTCTGTTTTATTACAACCAACTGTCAAAATCTAAGTGCTGTGATGAGAAAAGCTGTAGTGTCGGCACCCTTTTAGAAGTAGTTAACTCTTGAGAAGTATCGCACCAAAACTGAAATTCCTACTGCAGTGGAAACCTAAAATTTAATTTGTATCTTAGTGCAGACATCAGAGAAAATGAGCCAATCACACAAGCAGGAAATGTAATTTCTATACACCAATAGTGTAGAGAATGCCTCAAGCTTGTGCTGCATTGACTTTCTTGACAGTTTTAGCGAACTACAGTGGCTGCAGTTTGAAATGAAAAGATAATTTTTTATAACATTAAATTACAAAATGGCTTGTGTAGCAATTATATATGTTACATCAATTTTTTGGATGCAGGTGAAGTTCTCTTAAAAGTATTTAACATTCCGAACAGGCAATAAAAGCGCTTCACAACTAACCCTCACTTACCTCTGTAGCTATAGTCATTGTGGATAAATTAATCTTCAAAAGTTCGGTAACCACCATGCTTTGCATTTCATAGTAATAGTGCACTGAAGCCACTGAACAGTACAATGAATACAAGGGGGTAAAGTCCACTCTCTGCAGCACACCACACTGCAATTCACTGTAATGTAGCAGTGGCAAAATGCAGCACTGAATATAACTCTGTGCTAGCATATTACTAGCACTGTACAAGTATCACAAACTGTCTTTCCTTTACAAGGTTGTCAGTTGTCCCTCACTAACTCCAACACATAATAACTAAAGGATGCTGGGGGAGCTGACTTTTATAGAGAGAGGGCTGGCATATTTTCAAAGCACGTGGAGGAGGTAGTTGAGTGACGCACAAACCCTTCCTTTTCGTCCTTCTCCCTGGCACAGAGATGCCAGTTTTCTGCAACTTCTGCAAATGCACTCTCTTCTTCATCCTTCTCTTGTACTGCTAATCCGGCCATATCCCCATTATGTGATAGGGAGAGAAGTTTCACAAGGGGTTTAAGAGGTGTACCCTACAGCACAACAAGTGAGAAAGAGGGCCAGCAGGGTGCCAAGCAAAGTAGGGTCAAGTGTTTTTACTTGAACCTTGACATAAGTCACCTATATCTACCCTGCAATCTCCAGCAATATCCTTCCCCCAGGCAGGTATCCTTTCTGCAGCTAAAGTTGTTCCCTATTCACCCCCTTCCCCAGCATCTCCATACCATCTGTTAGGAATCTGGTATGCCTAAGGAACAAAGGCCCCAGTAGGCCAGAGATCCTTGCAGTTCCTCAGGGGCAGGCCAAAAGGTGGCCTATGCCATTTTGTGTCAAGCAAAGTTGTGTGTGATGACACCAACCTGCTGTCCGCCCTTCAGCAGGAAAATTTCACACAGGTACCTTGCCTAGCACATGTACTGAACCTGGTGGAGCAACACTTCCTGGTTAGTTACCCTGGATTCCAGGATGTCCTGCAAAAGTCCAAAATAGTTTGCATCTACTTTAGATGGTAATAGCCTGCAACTGTTCATTGCCAAAATGTAGTGGCAACACAAACTGCCTGCCAACTGCCTGATATGTGATACAGCCAGGAGCTGGAACGATTCAATTGCAGACCCAAAATATGGGATATCAGAATATAATATTACTGACACTGTGCTTGAGATTTATACTGTTTCATGACACCAACAATTGGTGAATTGACAGTCCGTGGTATACTGGCTACAAAATACAGCCCTGCCTTTGAAACTAGGTTTTAACTATATACCTCTGCAAGAGATTTCCTTAGTGAAAACAATTCTGTACACATAAAAGTCACAAAAGACATTTAGGCAATTTACTAATATGTGCTATTGCTAAGCATCAAGCATCAATAATTCAAAAGACTTATTTTGACCGAAGCAAATAAATCTTAGGCCCAGCACTGGTACCTTAACCACATCAACCACATCATGCCTTGGCGATGACAAAGACACTGGCAAATGCTGGCTAAGACCAGCCAAGCCCATAATGACCACTGACCACATTATAACTTGTGGTTTTCATACCTTTAACAATGACAAATTGGTATGAAAACAATTGCTTGTTTTTCATGAAGTTTAAACTTGCTTTTTTAAAGTGACACTACACTCAGGAGTTAAATCTTAAAGATACATTCAAGTACTCTAACTAGTAACAAAAATGTAGCTCATTTGGGCATTACTTAGCTGTAGATCCTCAAATCATCTCTGGATTGGTGCAGACACTGTCCTTACTTATGGAGGGTGGCTACTTTACAACACACACAGGGACCATGGAGAACAAAGGTAGCCACCCTCCAGAAGGAAGGACAGTGTCAGCACCAATTCAGAGACGATTTCACTCCAAGCTCGCTGCCGGGATGGATTTCATGTTTAGTTTACTCATTTGTAGTCTATCACAGGAGTGAGCTTGGAGTGCATTCAAGTTAGGGTAATTGAATGCAATTTTAAGATGTCACTTCGAAGTTTAGTGTAATTTTAGTGCAGCAAAATTATCAATCAGGTGGATTGCACTGCCACAATAGCAATAGAAAATATATATATATTTTTTTAAAGTATGCGTTGTATACAAATAAATGTGTACTGGAAAGCAGCATAGAGTATCTCTCAAAATCCATATCAGACCCCTATCCAAATATGCAGCCTGACTGGCCAGGAACAGGGGGCAGCGAGTATGTACTCCCCTGCTGAATGTACTGTATGTACTCCCCTGCTGAACCATGCCAGATCACTTGCCCTGAACATTGGGAGGGTCCCCTGTAGGAGGTCACAAAGCCTAACCCCCTTTCAAGGCTCCTTGTTCACATAGGGGTCTATTCACCAAGCTGCCGAGGGCAGCCGAGTGAATGACCAATCTGAAGTGAAGTGAGCCGAACACTGTTCGGCTATTCACTTCAGGCTGGTACGGCTAATTTCAGCCGTACATCGGCTGAGATCAGCCGTACATCGGCTTGCTTCGTGTGGCTTC